CCGCCACTAGCAGCCGACCCACTTAAAGCACAGCTGTTCTCTGCTGGGGCTCTCTGAACAAGGCGCTCTCTGCGCTAGAAGGCCCGCGGGAAGCGGAGCGGGCAGCCCCGGGAACAGATGGCACAGTGCCTTGCAAGATGGCCAGCTGCACGGAGGCTTGGAAGACAGACAACCCCCTCGCAGCGATTACACAGGCACTACTGGGATATCCTGTTTGCGACAGGAAAACGTCAAGTCCAGTGAAGGCTGCCAAACAGATAAGAAATAGACAGAATGAGTAACTCGTTTCTAAATTTGAAAAGAGATTATGCGGAAAAAAAAGTGTCCGAACAGACAAACAAAACTACTGCCCAAACTCACACCATTTGAGCCCTGGCACTCACATGGACAACTGGCTCCAAATGGTATAACTGTGTATTTGCAGTCCAGGGCTCTGTGATCTGTGCTTCCAGTAATTCCTTCATCAAACAGAGCTATGTTGTAGGATGAGTCTTAACTGCAATCGGGCATAACTGAGTTAAATAATCAGTACAAGTTTGACTTGACAAGTTTGCAGAATGATAATTGGTCCCTCACATTTTACAAAGTTTTAGTACAGAATCTTCTCCAATAAGGTTTGGCATTATTAAACTGCATGCCAATATTTAGGGTAAGATAATAAAATCCAGTATTTGCTTAAGTAATGAAAGGTGAACTATCTTTGTTAATATAAAAATCTAACATGATCCTTTTCTTTTCTGAACAAGCACACTTACATTCCTTCCTTGCTTTGCGATGATTCTTAGTATAACATTGCTTATCCTTTCCTTTGCCCAACGTATGTTGCTAGAATTGATCGCCTTTGCTTTCTCCCTATTAAATCAACTCATACTATGAATATTTTATCAGGAGTTTTAAAGGTGAATGCTTAGTCTCACATCACCGGGACACAGTTGCATCATACTGCTTTAATTTAATCAAATATACATGGAAAGATGATGTCAGATCTTTTAAGCATGAAGTTCAGAACAGGCTGCTAATAGAGAAACTGGCATAAAGTGATGAAAGAAACATTTCAGCATATCACTATCGACAAGTTTCTTCTTTGATTTAAATACATTACACCCACTGCATATCTACTCAAATGGTTGATGTAGTGAAGATTACTTTCTTCTGTTGTGAAATAATCCATCCACACAGAGGTTTCTTGCAGCCAACAAATAATCTGAAAACAACACTTTTCAGAGAACTAAACCAAAAAAGAAAAAAAAAACAAAAACAAACCCAAAAACACACGGGTAGGCAAGTAAGCCATTTGGAAAGAACACTTTTAAAACTAAATTATCAAGAGGCAAACAGAGTAAGCAAACACAGCATTAGCATTCAGCATACTGTGCTTTTAGCCAGTTCCTATAAGCACATTAAAAAAAAAACCAACTCTAAAACACAAAACCTACTTCTTGACCTTACACCAAAAAAAAAAAATGTTACTTTAATGTGAAGGTTGGTTGTCTTGTTGAATCACTCCTTGCCTTTTTTTTTTTTTTAAGAAAAAAAAAACTTTGTCTAATATCAATCAATCTGTAATCCAGTTTTGCTCATCCAAATTTCAGGAGAAAGAAAAATCAAAACACACATGCTAATGTTTAAAAAAAAAAAAAAAAAAAAGTCTGGATTTCAAAACAGCTTATTTAAGAAAGAACAAGTATTGCACAACAATGGAGGCGTTCACATTCCGGAGCTGAACAAAAGCCTTTCAGCCTTACAAAACGTTATTCCGATGTTTCACGGTTTTGCCTTGGTCCTTCCATTATGGTTTCCGTAACATCATGGCCATCAGCTCCAAGTTGGCAAACTTTAATACCATGTACAAGAATTACAAAACGCAAAGCTATCAGCAGTACTCTGCCAGTGGGCTCACAGAATTGTAGGGGACACAGTCATGGTAGCCAGTCAAAGAAAAGCTGAAGAGGTTGATGCTGCCTGCTCCCGACCAGTCTGCAGTCCCAAGCCATTCTGAGGAAAGACCATGATTATTCTGACCCCATCACCCACTGTCATTAAGCTCATGGCTTCTGAAGCCAACCTGACAGCGTGGCACTCCTGCCCTGCCTATTCCTGCCGCCTAGGCACCTCCGTTCCTATCAGGCCACTGTAAACCAGTTCATGCTCAAAACCCAGCAATTCTTCTACTCAAAAACTTTCTCAAGATGTGTTGCTCCTTGTACATCAAAAATTATCCTGTACGTACAAAAAGAAAGAGCGCAGGAGGAAACACGAGGTTTTGCTTTTTAAGTTTGAGATTTAAAAAGAAAAAATACTAAAGTAAAGATCTCTATGTTCCCTTTGTGACTCTTAAAAGAGCTTTTCTGCGTATACTTATGCCACCACACCAGTATAAAGCTAAAAAAGTGCAGGCACTTCCAGCTAGCAAAAACTAAGCTAACATACCACCTAGGCACAAATAGACAAGCTCAACCCCACAAACAGCACAGCCATGCCCATAAGGCACTACACCCCAGTTACTAAGTCAAGCCCTATTAGCTATTCTATTTCTGACCCCGAAGTGGCTTCCACCCACTCTAGCACCCCTGTGCCACACTCACTCACGCTTTCAGATCCAAAGATAGCATGTGCAGATGTGGCTCCGCACCTTGTACTATTGCCAACTGTGACAAACAACTTTAACGCTATGAAGTTGAAGTTTTGGCGTGGAAGTGAGATAGATTCTAGGGAGAAGGTAAGCAAGAGCATGGGTCTATATTCCCTTGTCACTCCATGTGTCTGGTGGCAAATTCAAGCTAGCACTGCCTTTCTCAGAGGGATAAGCAAAGCACCTGAGGACTGAGTGCTCTCTCCTATCTTTAGAGCACCTGACTTCAAGCACAGACGCATTTTTCGAGGTGTCTGAAGATCTAGATCCCCATTTTGAAGTCAGAGCTAAGAAGATCTCTCTTCAAGTGTTCATACAGAGAAGCAGAAACCAGGAAGTAAGCCCAGGAATCCCGCTTTGCAGCACGGGACGTGCCAGTGCAGGGCTTTCTTGGAAATGTTTTACTTAAATGAAAAAAACCAAACAAACAAAAAAAAAACCCCAAAAAACCCAAACCCAACTGTGGAGGAAAAAAGCCGTAATAAATTTACTCCCATGACAGCAACTTCATGTTGGCTAGACAAGTGACTACCAACACAACACAGCTCTTCCCTCTTTGCAGTCCCACACTTTGGAGATGACAATTATAACAATTAGAGGATGTATTTAGTCATGATTCAAGTACAGACAGAAGGACCCAGTTCTCTTCTGTAATTCTAGAGGTCAACGCTCACCAGTGCCATGGCACATCTTTTTATTCCCACGGAGAAGACCTCCTAAGTAGTACCCAAAAAATTCCTTCCACTCTTTAAAGAGCCAGCAAATTTAATTTAAAACTAATCTTAGCAAGGGACAGCACAGGCACGGGAATAGAAAAGCAGACAGCACGATGCCCCGTAATACACCAATACACTGAAAACCTTCTCTTGGTTCAATTTAAGAGTACAGAAATCGCTAGGCGCAAACACGGACCTAATGCACTGTGTACTTCTATAGCAGCAGACTACCAAGGCGTGGGTAGACAAGCACAAAAATACAATACAAATGCATCAATGCTGGACAGAAGTAACTATCTCCCCCCTCAACCTGTCAGATACTCACTTCGGCATATCAAATCCTATATAACTAAGTCATTAAGGGGGGG